AACAACTATATATATATATATATATATATATATGGGAAAATATCTCCATACTCCTCATTTTTAAGTTTTATATTTCAATAGACCCAAGGTTTCAAAATATATCTTAAGTCATAAAAATTCTAAGTTTTATATCTTTTAATCCCCTAAACTTTTTATATCTTTTAATCCCCTAAGCTAACTTTAGCTCCTTTAAATTTATTTTTTTGCCCCAAACAAATATAAAAAAGACATATCATTTCTAAACACCATCATTTCTCTCTCATCACGTGATTTTCCTTAAATCTCTCTTTACTTATTTTCTCACTTTCTCTCCCTAACAAATGATGGGGATAATTTTATCATTTTAAATTATTGAAACTAATTTTTTTATATTTTTATATGGTGCGTATATACATCCAAAATTTCATCTTAATCAGATTTATAGAAAAAAATAAAATTTATATAGTGATATGTATTTTGAGCCACATGATGATGATCTGACAACTATGATTCCCCTATATTACTATTCCTTATAGATGCTCAGCTATTGTTAACTCTTTCCATATATATATATATGGAAAAGTCTTCCCAACACCTATAGGCGAAAATGAATAGCGATTTCACCTACCCTCATCACCGTCCAAATTTCATCGTGTGGTCACGATTATTTGGTAGTATTTTTTTTTGCTTTTTTCTACAAATAAGAATGACCTGAAATTTGTAAGGTATATACATCTTATTGAGGCTCATCTAATAAAAATATAAAAACAATTATCCTAAAAACATTTGACCAAAATACCCCCAAATGTTTTGGGAGTATTTTGGTCAATGTTTTTCATGTAAAATAATTTTTTTATATTTTTTAAATATTATCCTATTTTTTATGAATATAAGCTCCAAATTTCAAGTCATTCCGATTTATAGAAAACAAATGAAAAATAAAATACATACCTGACAATTGAGACCGCGCGATGAACTTTATACGGTGATGGGGGTTAGGCGAAATAATTATTCGTTTTTGCCTATAGGCATTGGGAAGAATTTTCCTATATATATATATATATGGAGTTAATAACATATCAAAATACAAAGGTTACAGTTACGAGGGGTTGTGATAGCCGTATTTATCAAAGAGATCATTACTTTTTGTTTAAAAATTTATTTTAATAGGCAACTTAACCATTAAGCAATGAAAATTTTGAAATTTTTATAATATTACAATTGCATTTTAGAAGTTTGTGTCATGGAATTTTATTTGTAGAGTGCCCTTGTCTTTTAGTAAAAATTTCAACTGTACCCCTTATGGAGATGACAAAAGTACCCCTTTTCATGTAGTAATATTTACAAAATTGCCATTACTTAATGATGAAGATTAATTTTTTTACAAAAATAGACTACAAAATAAGTAAATCCAACATTCACAACTTTCTCTATCTTTAATCATTTGTAATTTGAAGGGTTGTGAAGCATAGATTATCACCATATATATATATATATATATATATAAAATTGAACATCCAGATGGAAATATCTTAAAATCAT